CTGTATGATATATGCCCTTCTTCCATTCCACGTTCTGTATTTGTACTTTTGTTTTTCATTCACAACAAATTTTAATTTTCTCTGTCGCAGGGAATCATTTTCCACATCCCATTATCTAGATACAGAATGAGAGAACACAAACTAAAAAGGAGTACTGTAATTTAATTAAACTGAAAAATATGACCTAGAAACTAAACAGACGTTTAAAGGTAAGCACTCCAGTGCAGAATGTAACAGGAGATATGGTGACGTGATTGACTGTGACTTTAGACGGGGTTTCAATTGATGATCGGATTTATTGGACCCTTTGATACAGCGCGTGACTACATTTTACAATTCTATATTACAAGTACACAATAGTGTCCTTAGTGACGTCTTCAATAGCCGTTTCTCGGTAGCGGCTACCAACGGCGGACGTTCCTCTACCTCTGGGTTCCCGAACTGTCCCGTGCCTCAGCTACCAGCTTCTCACAGCTACAGTTCACAATGACTGAAACGCAGCAGTCCTCTGACTGAATAATTCAGTCAATTACCAACCAATTCAACTGAACTGGCTGAACTAACTGTCCTGCTTATAACATCTCGGCACGGACGGCACCGAAAACACCACATATCTGCTGCAGTTTAAAGGTCATTGCCTAGTAAGGGCCGTTGTCTAGTTGTTTGTTTTGCATAGAAACTGGTATACATGCCTCAGTATTAAGAAGAAGTATACATGTATGTGATCTTAATGGGGTCAGTAACAGATCAGTTTTCATGAATGTTAATCGCATTAACATGGCGCCATTTTAAATAAACTACAGGGACCGTAAATACGTTCTTGCCTGAGTAAGAAGACCCCATATAACCTTGCGTTTACAGTAAAATATAACGCCGTGTAGTCTGTTGAGTGTCAACCGACGTTTCGGAAGGACATGTCGCCTCCATCTTCAGTGTCAAAGAATAAGCCTTCTGTGCTTACCACCTGCTTCACACTGGTTTTTTGCTTGGCTTATTCTTCAACCATGAAGATGGAGGCGGTATGTTCCTCCGAAACGTCGATTAACTTTCAACGAACTACACAGTCTTACATGCCAAATGACAGAACTTTTCGTCAGCTATTGTCTAATTAACTGAATGGAAGGAAATTGTGTTTGTGCGAATGGTGAAACAGTAATTCCGTCTAATATGAGTTTTAACCCAATGTACAGCACCGTTAAGTGAAAAGAAATCGACGGTAGAAAGCTGAATTCAAAGCAAAGCCGGTAAAGAGGTAGGATGTGGGCACAAAGAGACGAGAATGAAAAATAGGATCACGAAAACGAGGGTTGGGCACCCTTTCCGCCATATGTCTTACGTCTAAACGGGTAGACAGCCCAAACTTGATTCTACCTGACTCTAACATATAATTATTGTTCTGGAGGGAAACAAATGACTGAGCGACCGGACGTAAGGGAGGCAAACACTTGATTGGTTACACACAGAAACCAAAAACTAGCGATTTTCAGCCATAAACAGTTTTCAATCTATATTCTAATGACACAGCATATACTTAGTAAAAGAGATTATGTGTGTACGTGTGTGTGTGGTATTGTCACGTGATATTTATGCCAGGTAATAAGGGGGGTGAAATATAGTTTAGAGCTTTTCAGGTAGAGACTATATATTACTTGAAATTTTAGAAATAATATATATATAGATGGTAAGGTTAAGTTAAATTTGTCCCTGTGCTTAATTGAATGAAAAATCAGTGCGTACCCCACACCAAACAAATTACTCGTACTTCCTTCCTACAATACTCAGCCGGTTAATGTTGATTATGGAAGTGATCGCTGTTTATTGTGAGAATCATGAGAAAAACACAAACACACTCTGTGGAGAGAAAGCAGAGTTATAATATTGTCCCTTTTCCGGGGTTCCGTGACGATAATAACCCGTTCTCGCTTGGATGATTGGATTTATTGACACACATACTTCTACACAATTCTGAACTCTAGGCAACTATAGCATTCTCACTATTCTGCACACTTCACAAATTACTAGAACACGCTCCATTCTTGTACTTGTACCCTTCTGTACCCTTCTCTCCTTCTGCTCTCAAATGAATTCTGTCAAAGCCAAAGTCGCATTGCGACTGACGGTCACTCAGTCTGCCTGTCTTGGTGTGGAGCCCCAGCTGGGGCTCATGAACAGATTTTTTTCTCTTTGTTTTTTCCTTATATGAAAGTTACTATTTTGTCCATTTGGGGCGCCCTCTCTTACGAGAGGTCGGGTCTGTCATTTGTCAGTCATAATCCGTATTAGTATAAGTCCAATTTGTCAGTATTGAAAGAGAGGGAGAGTTACTTTACAACTGGCAGTTTACCGCCAATCAGTTCGTCTTGGCGTCAGACCCCTTGAGGCTCACGACCAGAGATTTTTCCCCCCCAACTGAACTCTTGCGGTAATAGTCCTTATGTAACTTCCTCTCTGACGAGAAGATGGGTTTGACTCTTATGAATACACTTGACCTTCCGTCAAGTGTATATTTCACACATATAATATGTTACCGAAAATTCTTATGAACCTCATTATATAGCCGCGGCACGGACCACATAGAAAACACCCTTCAATCGGGGATGCGTATTACAGCCCCGTTGCCTAACACTAGACATGGCGGGAACCACATAGAAAACAACTCTTCTGTTGTCAGAATTGTGCGTAACCTAGCAACTTATTATAGCATGGCCCACAGAGAACACATCCCATATTGTTGCGTGTTCGCTGGAACGTGTACATTGAGTCGTTGCCTAGCAATAGTCATAATCGTCACGTTGCTCCCTACATATATTGACCACTGGCTTTAAAGTGTTAAGCATCATATCAGGAAGATATTCGGGGAGTGCAGATATAGCTCCACAAATTACTAAATTGTGGGAGGAGTTAGACATCATAGATTAAACACGAACGTCATCTTATAGTCTCTGAGTCTTAAAGTGTAATGGAGGCCGTGAGCAGCACTGTTTTGTTGGGATGATTTGCCAACATCGCGTGTCCTGTTTTGTTCAGTTTACGTGGCGCTAGCACATGGCCCGGTCGTTACTTGGCAGCCATACGCTTTCCTAATTCTATGGAGCATGAAAATAGTTTTCTGTTTAAAACGAGAATGTCCAGCCGCTTTCTACAGTTGACATGTTTAACCTATCCATCGTAAAAAAGGATATTTATAATACACACACCAAGACATACTTTGGTATCTTCAGTTATCATGAGATATATAAAAACCCGTCTTCCATTAGATTAGTTAATTGTATCAAATCGGAAATGAAATCTGTTCTTCAAGGAACACTTTAACTGCAACAGTTATACAAGCTAAATAATTTTCCATTAGAAATACATGAAATGAAAATTAGCCAATATTATTCTGCTACTACATTGCTACTAGTGTAAAGTCAGGTAACATTTCAACGGAAAGATTTTTCATTTGTTACTCATTATTGCTACTAGTGTAATGTCAGGTAACATTTCAACTGAAAGTTTTTTTATTTGGTACTCATTATTGCTACTAGTGTAATATCAGGTAACATTTCAACGGAAAGTTTCTTCATTTGGTACCCATTATTGCTACTAGTGTAATGTCAGGTAACATTTCAACGGAAAGTTTTTTCATTTGTTACTCATTATTGCTACTAGTGTAATGTCAGGTAACATTCCAACGGAAAGTTTTTTTCATTTGTTACTCAATTATTTCAACGGAAAGTTTCTTCATTTGGTAATCATTATTGCTGCTAGTGTAATGTCAGGTAACATTTCAACGGAAAGTTTTTTTCATTTGTTACTCAATTATTTCAACGGAAAGTTTCTTCATTTGGTAATCATTATTGCTGCTAGTGTAATGTCAGGTAACATTTCAACGGAAATTTTCTACACTTGTTACCTAATATTTGCAGATTTAATACAGTGTAATTATAACATTAAGCTTTATATGACAACATAAACTTTATGACCGCAATTACACATGTATATTAAGAACGTAAACTCAGGATATCCTGCCATCTCACAATTAATTATCGCACATGGGCATGTTTATACTCTTGGAAAAGAAAGATTTCTTTAGCATCATCCCCTTATGCTCATTCTTAAATTTGCTTATTCCTTTCCTGCTTGTTTTATATTATTCGCTACAGTTTCTCGTAATTCGGGTCAGTCAATATCGTCATTCCACTCCCCCCCCTTCTTCTTTCCTCTCCTTAAATTAAAAAAAAAAAGTTAAATAGAAATCGCACAAAAGTTTTGATTATAGTAGACTTCAGAGTACTCATATGTGCTATTGGTTAATTCGTTGAGACTGAGAAATACTGCCATCTATTAGACACTAAATGTGTCTACATCCTCTCTGAGAACAAATATAGTACATCTGACTTTTATGTGCGCAAGTTTTATTATTAATTATTATTACATTGTTTTTGTGTATATGTGTTGGTTTGTTTCCGTTTTTGTTATATCTTCTTTTATAATTGGCCTTTTGGCTGTTGTGTAAACACATGAACAAATAAAGTATGTGGTTTAATTACTATTGTCATGTACTGAAATATTTATTATTTGACTTGTTTCTTACTGTTATACTTTTACACCAGCCATGGTTCTTTGAATCATTAAAATACTAAATGTGTTCATTTTAAAGGTAGGTGTTTTACTTTTGTCACTTCTCAGTGATAAATGTGATTAGTTAATAACATTATTAATATTATATATATTTTTTGTGTTTTCTTAATTGTGTGTGTGTGATTGTTTAGTTTCCTTTCCTTTATTCATGCTCAATTTGTAATTTGCCTCTGGGGTGTTAAGTTTGCACGTAAATAAATAAGAGTTGAATTATTATTATTATTAACTTTCCATCTCATATAAAACAGTTCCGGAAGTATTTCTGCATAATTCAGGCGACGTTCACTGAGAACAACTGATGAAACTCACATCAGGCTGTGAAACCTAACGACTGAAAGCTAATAAGGCCAGGCATTAGAGCTCTGTTTGACGATTACCGTGCAAATGGCCGGCACAAGAGTGAGGTGTCTGTCGCTGACGGTGGCGGGATCAGCGGGTGACCTACTGGTGATGGTATTGGTAGTTCTGCTGGTGCAGGAACTACCGGTAGTTGTAGTATTGGTGTTTGTAGTGGTGCAGGTGAGTGGTGAAGAGTCGGGGCGGAAAAACCACGAAGCAACCGAAGCCCACTGTAACAACAGAAGAGACCACAGACAGTAGAGACATCTGGAATCTTGAGAAGAGCAAGAAGTGGAAGGCTTATAGGAAGCAGAAACGTTATCAGGAAAGCCACCAGTTTTAAAGATTACATAACAATGCTCTGCAAAACAATTTCAGAGTATCACTTTCTTGGATAACGGGTAGAAACAAAGGAAGAAATCAGTCACCAAAATAAGGAATGTAAAGTGAAGTTTGTCTTAGGATGGGAAATATACAGTTAGTTACAAATATACAGCCTCCTTTCATTATGAAAAGGCTTCAAGAATTAGTGCCTGCAACCCAAAGTGCATCTCTACGTAAAAATGCGAAGGAATTTGTAAATTACTCGAAGGCTGCTGAAGAAATTACTTATGGAACGTTGTTATTTCTAAACAGGATTCGGATTCATGAAAGGTTCTTAGGGTTGCTGATAAAGATAACATTCAAAGATAGCGTAGAAGAGCATGTAACCTGGCATAATTTCATTTGCTTTACAAAATAAAATAGTTTTATTAAAGTCACTATATTTGAGGTTAGTGTCTTGCTTTTAGATCTTCCTGGACGAAAAAAAAATATTATATAAAGTGTTTTTATTACGTGAAAATGTTTCTTTTAACTTCGAGAGATTTCATACACGTATGTTCTATTTTAGGCAAACAGACTTTAAAAAAAATGCATCTATGAGGAATGCCAGTTTCTGCAATTCCTGCAGGTATTTTTTAAGTGCTGATTTGTGTTTGTAAATGTATTTTTCATGTCCTTTAAATCACATGAAATGGGTAAACATGCAAACTAAGTTGTGTAAACAAAACTGTAGTAATTGTATTATGGTACAGTTGAAAGAAACATGGGAAATCTCCGTTAAAATTGTATAGCTATGTTGGAGTTAACGAGAACCACAAAAGTATTAGCAAATTTTAAAATATAGGAGCGAAAAATGAAGAGGACATTGCACGGATTCTGAGCAAATTTGATACCGTACGTGTATCGCACGTGTTCTTGCTTTATGAGAATTATAACAGTAACGTAATTAGATAACTGAAATGACAGAGTCTGGTATGACAACACCACGAATTCGTAATGTGTCAATGAATTTTACAAGCATGCACGAAACACACATTTTCAGAGTATAAGAAATGTCATGACCCCGTAAAACATCGTCTAGCGCAATGGACAGTAAGTACATGATCCATGTTCACTATAAGTTAACACTTTTTATTAAGTATACGTGTGTTCGATTCCAACAAACGTGGAAATATAAAGTGAATTCGAATATAGATATTTCGTAACAATTTTCAGACAGAAATTATGGAATTAATAACCCTGGATTATTATTAGTATGAGAGAAGTGAATATGAACTGCTTAAGTAGCAATTCAAGAGTAATTTTGCTTGACTGAGAAAATCACTATAGAATTCCCTATAAGGAATTTTTCTTCAGTACTGTCTAACCTGAAAATATGTTTCAAAAATCTTGACCATAAATTGACTGTGTACAATATGATGTTGCACTTAGAGTAAGCCGTAGTGACTTTAAATAAATATCAACTGTACTAACACAATTATATATTGATGCACAGGATTTAAATTCGAAGTAGGGAAATATGAAATTATGACAATCTGGCAGAACGCAAATATTTACTACTGAAAATACCAAGACACTCAATTATTATCGGTCCACAGTTAGTCCCTTCCTTCTCCGATCCCTGGAACAAGATCTATTTAGCTGTTACCCTTCTGTTCTGTTGATGATATTGTGAAGCACATGTCCATTGTTAGGAAACGTCTCGGTAAACATATACTAGAAATTACGCTCTCAACAATATAAGTAACAATAAACACGCATTCTAGACAACAGAAGACAGTGTTTTCCGTGGGATCCGTGCCGAGGAATTATAAGAGGGCACAGCCAGAATAATTGAAGAAGTAAAACGGTGTGCAATGTTATTCAGTCATAAATCAGAGGCCAGTCGTAGACTAAATCAGAATGGATAGAGATGAAACCAGAACTGAGCAAGTTTGGCTGAAGAGTCACTGTGTTGTTGTAACTGATTGTGATTAGGAATGATTGTAAAGAAGGTGCCAATAAATTCAATCATCCAATCCAAGTCCCGCTATTATTACACACGCTGCCATAAACATGTGACAGTATTTCAAGAGATCTTCCAAATAGTATTATGTGTACATTCTTTATATTTCCTCCATGTTAGCCACATGTCCAGCCCATCATAGTCTCTAACAAATCAGCATCACACGAAAATTAGATCTTTTTCGCAAAAAAACAAGTTCCTCTTATGGAGATCAATATCCCAAAATTCTCAGTTACGTTATCCCCATTGATTCAGATATTTTCTTACGAACTTATTTTCAAATGCTAATTATAATTTTTGGGCCGGGGTAGTGCAGTCGGTATAGCGATTGGCTGAGGTCTGGACTACAGAAGAGTTGGAGTTCGAGTCCCAATGGGATAAAGAATTTTCTCTTCTCCATGTAGTCCAGACCTACTCTGGGGTCCACCCAGCATCCTATCCAATGGGTACCGGGGGCTCTTTCCGGGAGGTAAAGCGGCCGGAGCGTGAGTCTGACCACTCACCTCCAACTAGCTCCAATGTCAAGAAACTGTGGCTCTATACATCCACACTCCCACACGCCTTCATGGCGTGGTGCTTAATTATTTAAGCACAGGGACAATTTTTCCCTACCTTAATTTAATTTTTATTTGTCTTGTAAAATAAAAGATTGCATTCCACACCCACACGAAAGAAACAACTGAACTATTTTCCGGCATAACTTTCGTTTTTTGGAAAGTACAGGCCCTACGCATGAAACAGAAGGCATGTTATTTTTATATCCCATAATTAACGTTTACCTATCTCCAAGAATAAAAAAAAAATTATCCAAGAAAACGTGGAGCGATGAAAGCAAAATCGTTGCTAAGGAACCGAAGAAGGATCTTCAGTCGCGCCGTCAGAACTCTGTCCCTTCCGAGTTAGTAAGATACAGGACTTAATAGTTTTATTACGCAACAAGCTTTACCTATGCAGTTTTTTACTCGATAACGACATAAAGTGGCCGGTCACGGTAGCCGAGCAGTCTAGGGTATGTGTTGTCTTCGCCCGCTCGGAGGGCAGGATCATGGGTTCCAATCCCACACAATGCATGTATGTTTGGTATGTGTATGTGTTTATTCTGTGTTCGTGTTGTCCTGTGCTTAGGTAGAAGCCTTACGACGAGCTGATCACTCGTCCAAAGGGTCCTACCGTCTGCAAAACGATCATAAACTGAAAAATCAGAGGCCAGGGCCTAAGAGGGCTGTAGAGACAGCGAAAAAAGAAGACACCTACTGAATCGCGAAGTTCGCAGACTCCGTGAGCGCGCAAGATCGGTAATATGTAATGTTGAGCGGGCTATATATATTAAATTACATGTAATATGAGAGACACAAGACTACAGGGCGTTCAATGTGTCTCATAGTTATTTATTCATTTGTGATAAATTTTAACAAACCGAAAAATATATTTGAAATCCGCATACGCAAACAGGCATAAAATACATCAAATTTAAAAAAAAAAGGAATCACAATTACTTACTTGTTTTACACTTTGTTTCCAACTTATGCTTATATTTTGATAGATATTGTCACGTGTGTGAGTGTGACTATAGACGGGGTTTGGATCGGTCATTGATTTTACTGAACACTTACAGATCATAACTACAAGTAACTCTAGCGCTATGGCTAATTAACTCACTCGTCTTCTCGCTATAGCACATTCTGAGTCTTCTCAGTCTGCTATGTCATCACCAGTCGTTGCCTGGTAACGACTACGAAAGGCGGATGTTCCCCTTACTTTCGATTCCCGAACTATCCCCGTGCCCCAGCTACCCGATTCTAACCACAGCAGCTCACAAAGACTGAAATACAGAATTTTGAATAACTCACTAACTCACCAACCAACTCTCTCCACTTCACTCAGTTCAACCGAACTCGCTCCGTTACTTGTTAACAGTTCTCAATCCTCTGGAACTCTCTCTCTCCCTAATGCTACCGAGACCTACCCCTCACACATTCATTCAGTCCGTACCTCACAGAAATATTACGTCTCCGCTACAAAGCCCCACCGGTTAATGCTGTTTAGGGAAACAGTCGCTGTTTACTGTGAGAACCATACGGAATGAACTCCACGCCACTCTACTCCTTATATAGCCTCTGCACGGACCACACAGAAAACATGTCTTCTACTGTTGCGGGCGTGTATGTTGCAGTCACTATCTAGCAACGGCTGTTGTTTACGGAGTCACCACTTAAGAACGGGTCTACATGCTATAGTATTTCTAACAGATTAGGAGTTTCTCAAAGTAATCTATTAAAATTTTAACAATTCCAAGCAAAGAACTGCCTAAATTAAAATTTTCTAAACGTCGGCACACCTTCATAAATCTTTAAATTATTTTGGTCAATTTTTTTCCGAGTCTACATTCGTCATTCCCTTTTGGGATCGCGAAAAATTGATTTTAATTTAGAAAGCCACTCAGATCATAGAGTAAACCGGAGTGAAATTGTTGACATATCCAAGTGGTCCTGAAATGTAGACGGATGTTGACATAATCAGCCACGAACGAGCGATGTGTACATTGTTTGAACATTAGTACTTACACATCGTTACCTATTGCCCTATTCAATAAGGCGATAACTTGCTCAGGAAGAGTCTGTCACGGCTTGAATAATGAAAACTGCTCTTCTCTGCTCTGCACCTGTGTTATTCCTTTTCTGATTCCTGTACGTTGCGGTGTATTTGTCTACAATACAACTTTCTGTAGACAGATGCACGCTAGGGGATTGGAAGGGAAAAATCAATTTTTTTATAGCATTTTATATCAGCTACCTCTAGGTTTCTGCTCAGATTCGACATTTTCTAATTCCATACTTACGGCTGTTTCATGAGTGTCATGCAGTGATTGGCAATGCAGTGTGCCCAACAAAAGTTTATTTA